AGTGGTCTTCACTAAGCCTCTTGGGATGGAGATGACCATAAGGTAAAATGACATGATGACCATAAGATAAAGATGATCATTTGGAATTTATGAAACCGAGGCAAACTAAACTTTTAAAACCCACTGTATGAACAGAAAGAATATATACCTTCTAGAATGAAAACTACCTCTACTTCTGAGATAGGAAAAGTCACATGTGGTCAAAGATACCAAAGATGACCACGCTGAGTAGAGTAAGAGGCCTAATTCTGGCGCTCACCTTGCCACTAGCATGGGGGTGCCCTTGCTGGGGCTGTACCTGCCCCGTGGGACTCCCCTCCCTGGCAGGCCCAGCTGCCTCAGGGGCACAAGCCAATCATGTAGATTACTTTCAAACTCAAAAGAAAATTCTGAAAAGGGGCATAATAGGGAAGGACAGTCAACCACTCTACAATGCACAGGGCCTGTGCCAGGTGTGGGGCTGGGCACAGCACAGACTCAGGGAGAAACTGATCAGTGTGATACCTGCCTTCTGGCACATGCACTGACCACTGAGAACTGGGCATGGAGGCCTTCTGGTTCTGAGATAAACCATGAAGCTTCCCCCAGACTACTAAGCACAGCACTGGATGCTGGGTGCTGGTGTTTGAGAAGCTGGTGACCTCACAGCCCGGCTCCTGGCTCTCCTGCTCCATCTCAAAGGCCAGAGACCTCGCAAGGCACTACCGTATCTCTGTCCTCAACTTCCCTTTTCCACTTTTGGAGCCCGAGAGTATTTTTTTCAGGCAACCCTGACAGATTACTACAAACTGGTGGCTTAAAACATCGTAAGCGTCTTCCCTCGCCCCTCCACTTGGACGTTGGGGCTTACCATCTAGGTGTGGGCAGGCACCCTGCCAAGGCCTCAGGGGAGGGTCCTTCCTGGCCTCTTCCAGGCTTCCTTGCCTGGTGGCCACATTGCCCCCATCTCTGCCTGTCTTCTCACCCCTTGCCTATCCGGGTCTGTCACAAACTCCTCGACTCCCTTTTATGAGGACACCCGTCATGGTATAAGGACACCCATGATGGCTCTGACAGCCGGGAACCACCAGGAAAGCTCACCAGCACCATTCAGATAAGCGCCTCCTCTCAAGCTGCATCACCACTTTTCCCTATCTGAGCTAATATTTATTCTTGCCATGCATATATACCCGCAGGTGCTAGGCAAGTGTCAGTGCCTAGGGCTCCAGGCGCCATGCTTAGCTGACCGAGAGAAACCTGTTGATGGGTGCGCCCAGACACTCCCAGAGCCTCCCTATTTCAGGCCAGCCGATCAGCAACTTCACTCCATCTGCACCTTTAATCCCCCTCTGCCAGGCCAGCATCCCTGCGCCATTCTGCCTCCCTCGCTGCGCAGCATGACCGCCAGGGGCTGAAGTGTGTTCACCCAAACTCATGCTGCGCTCCTAATCCCAGGGACCTCAAAGTGTGGCTGTAGCGAAAACCAGGTCACTAAAGGGGTGATGGGTGTCACTAAGGTGTGGCTATCAGCATGAGCTCTGGCCTGATACGAGCGCCCTTGCTGGAAGAGAAGAGCACGCCGGCAGAGAAGACCAAGTGGGAAACAGGGCAAAGAAGGTGTCTGCAAGCCAGAGAGGCGCCCAAAGAAATTACCGCGCCAACACCTTGACCTCTCACTCCCAGCCTCCAGAACTGTCAGAAAACATATTTCGTGTCGCTTAGAGTGCCGAGTGTGCAGTAGTTGGGGCAACCAGAGCAAACACTACAGGCAGGTGCCAGGCAACTTCCCAGCAACCACGGACCACGTAGTAGGCAGTGGTCTGTGCGTGAGCCCAGCAGTGCAGGTGACACCGAGGTTTGTGTGATCACACTCTACAACATCTGCACCAACACAAAGCTGCCCAAGGACACATTTCTCAGAACCAGTCTCTGCTCTTCAGCCATGCCAAACTGTTGCCTGGTCATATTCACAGGCCCCGTTCATCTTCGAGGGGAGGGTTACGTAAGCTGGGTGGGCCAGCGAGGGGTCCTGGGATGCTGGAGAACTTTGCTTAGCAGAGAGCAAAGCCTGCAGACCCATTTTGGCCAGCTCAGTTGGAAGAACTGGTTAAACTGCATCTGCCAGCTTCCTTTTACTGAGCTTGTTTCGAGTCTCCCATTTGACATTTAATCTGAATCTGGGTGCTTCAAGGTGAGTTTGGAGGAGGGAGGTCAGCCATGAGTGGGGCCACTCTCTCGAGTGAGCAGCCACAGAAATACTTGGGGGAAGGCATGATGCTGCTGGTGTGTCCTTCATCCAACTTCTAGGAAGGAAATGAAGAACACAACTGCGAACAGACTTCATTTTTCACAGCCCCCAAACGTTTTCATTTTCTAACGTGAGTGTTCTTAAAGCAACAAAATCTGGCTATGCAAATACATTTTCTTTAAAATACGTAAGTTCTGTAGTTTACATAAAACCAAGAAAAGCAGATCCTGTTTCACTGGAATTCTGTGGGTCTGTGCGTTAACCCAGTGACCACTGGTAACTGCCGAACAGGCGCTGGTGCTGGCCCTGGCCCTTATGGCTCTGGTCTGCGGGGCACGTTTGGGGTCCCAGCGGGAGGCGCATGCTAGGAGACTTGGCTCAACTGCAGGGCCTGGGCGCCAGGCCTGCGTGCTGCACATCCAGCAACATGGCTGCTTCGCTCGTGAGCCAAGTTCACCTGCCGCGTGGGCCTGCGCTCGCAGTGAGAGGCTGCGTGGATGTTGGCAGCGAGGGCGTTTCAGGGCTTCAAGGCCACGTGCACATTACTGGAAGCAAAGAGCCCCGGAACCAGATGACAGAGGCCCCTTCCACCTGTGTCTTCTCCTGAGGCGGGATCTGGGGCCAGAGCACTGTGTTGGCATCTTGCCACTCACTGGGGAGCCGGGGGGGACTCGGCCCTCACGCAGCCATCGGTCTTCAGCCCCGGCCTGCGTGGACGTGCTCCCAGAGGGCGGGCCTCCCACCCCTCTACTCATGCCCACGTCCACCCAGAGCGCGGCTGATGGCTCTGCGCCTGCTCTGTGGAGAGCTGAAACTGGTGGCGTGAGACAGAGCCACAGCGGGAGGTCTGGGGGGTGGGTACCGCTGCCCCGTGGTTTACGGCCAATACGCAGGCTGTATTCTGTGGGGGCGGGGTGGGAACAGGCAAAGCTGAGCAAGGGGGGAAATGACGTCCAGTGGCCTTACCTGCAGATCCCACGGCAGCGCCACTGTGCGGCGTAGTGGGACGTGGTGATGCCAGCGCAGAGGTGTCTGTCCAGTATTCACCACAGATACGGTGATGTACACCGAAAGTGGGGGGCTATGCCGGTAGCTGAGGGCCATAACTTGTTAACGTCCCCTGGAGGGGTTCGCTGGTAATAACTGCAGCGCCCCAGAAAGGTGCTGAAAGTGGGGTGAGGCAACGAAAAAAGCATATAGGGGCGCTCCACGCACACCTGCTGCGGAGGATGTCTGCGCATGCGCAAGAGGGAGCCCTGCGCACATGCGGGAAGCTGCAGAGGCGCATGCGCGAGGGACGGGGGCCGAGCGGGGCGCGCGGGCCGGCACGGGACTGGACGGAGGCCGAGCGGGGCCACAGCAGGGGGTGTTGCCATGGTGGAGCCGGACTTTGTGTTCGCCGCTGCGTGCGCGAGGCCATCGAGTCCGGCCTTGTCTGGGTGGCGGTTTTGGAAAAGTCCTGTTAGGCCTGGCGGAGAGAGGGAGTCCCGAGGCCGCATCTGCAGAAATGTGGTCCGGAGAGGACGAGCCGAGGGCCGGCGTCCTGCTGAGATGCGTGCGTGTGGCCGCCACGGCTGTGATCTGAGTGTCCCGGTCTGGGGCAGCGCTGGGCATCCCGGCAGCCCATGGAGCACCTCCTGCTGCGTCCTTTGCTGCGTTTGCGAGTCGGACCCGGCCTGGAGTGTGGCTGCGTGTGGCCACAGCGGCAGGAGCTGCCATCTCAGACGCTGGCCTGTTGCTGGGAGAGGAGCTGCACGTCCTCAGGGGCGGGGGTCATCCTTATAACGGTCTCTGTGCAGGTCTGGACGGTACTGGACACGACGTTGGGTAAACTAAATGGCCGTTATTGGCCTCAGTAATTCACTTTTCCTGGTTTGTTAACTACGCCCCTTTGCTGTTACTCTCTAAGCCTGAGCCATCTTGCCATTCTGCGCGGGTGCAGCGTGCACACGGTAACCCATGAAGTATTTGGGCAGCCAGACTTGGCCATTGTAGTGCCCCCCACCCTTATGAGGCAAAGCTGTGACGTGGCGGAGGGCCATTTCTAAGAGAACCGTCTAGATGCGTTGTGGTGAAATGACTACAAGATTAAGGCTGGCAGCAAAAAGCAGTCAGAGGTGCCAAGCACAGACCGAAGCGGGCCTGGTCTCAGGTGGGAGCAGTGAAGATGAGCAGCAGAGAGAGCAGACAGGCCCACGGGGCATGTTACCCCTCACTCCCGCAGCCCACTGCTCCTATGCGGGACCCAGGCTAGAAGCAAGTGCTGCCCCGCACAGCGTGTTTCTCCAAGGGCTACCTGAAATGCATCAACAGCAGCATGACCAGGAGAGTGGGGAGCTGGCAGCAGGGCAGTGTTTGGGGGTGCATGTCTGGTCTTCCCTAGCACTTCCTTCACTTTTGAAACCACAGACTCAGGCTGTTCTGTTAGGATCCCCTCTCTCCAAAGAGCACAGCAGAGGACCCTAAAGAAGGGAGGCCACGAGGGGCGCAGGGACTGGTCTGGTAAGCCCAGGCAGCATCTGAGCGGGCCTGCGTCACACTCACTACCGGCTGAGGTGACTGGCTTGCGGAGGCCCAGTCAGTAGGGATGGTAAGGAGCTCTGGAAACGACTCCTGGCCTTAAAGGGAGCCTTCCACATGGCACGCAGGGATCCCACCCAACTGCCCTTCCAGTTGTGGCAGCCCGCCCCCACCAGCATGCTGGGCACCTGCAAGTGCCAGGGGTGCACGTGTGCTGTGAGGTGTCAACAAGAGGCAAAGGGACACATCAGAGGGCATCGCGAACACTTTTTTAATGACAACAAATGGTCAATTTATACAAATTACAGGCCAGAATATAACGAATACAAAATCCATCCAGAGAACGGTTAGAAAAGCATCACTTACAAAAGTAAATCTGATTCCAGTGGTGAAAGAACTCAGGCCCCCATTTTCATAATCACACACAGCTTTCCACCTAGCGCGCCTAAGCCCCGCCCCTAATCAGGGTGCTACCAACACTACGCATGTCACTGACTCTAGGGATTTAAAGATTCTAACACTTTTAGCATCAATGTCAAGAGACATCTCGTAACAGGTTCACGATGCAAACTCAAACGAGAATATGTGAACATTCTTTGCAAACTGTAAGGTGCTGTGCAGATGTTGTTAGCTATTGCTATTAGTGCTCAGTGAGATTTCACTGAACTTGAGAAAAAGGAAGACTAGTCTGTGTAACTGACAAATACGACTTCGAGAACATCTTAAAAGGAATGCAGCTATTACTTGCAAGTACAGTGGCAACAAAACAGGCGAGGCATGGCCAGGAGTGCCAGGGATGGGCCTCCAAGGCCATTATAACCAACAGAAAGGAGTCGCTATTCCTACATGGCAAGCAGTATTTGTCGCTAGGTTCCCAACGACCCTCAGGTGACCCTCCCCCAGCAAAAAGGAAGAAGGATCCTGTCAAGTCACGAGTGGGGCCTGGAGCCAGCTCCTGCAAAACTGCTTAGATGTGAGGCCGAGCCTGAGTCTCACGCTGTGGAAGCGTCTGTCCCAGGACTACAGCCAGGGACAAACTGTGCCACAGCTGAAGGCCGCACAGAACGCCCGCAAAGCCCACTTCCCTTGAGCAGATATAAAATGATACACGTGAACTTGTCTGGCAGAAAAGCCGAGCCAGACTCCACAGACTCTTTCACCACGGGCTTTAAATGTAAAGCCTGGGTTCCCGTCTCTTCAGCTAGCAGCTATCCGTGGGGCCACCTTAACCACGTAATTGTTCCGAACGGGTTCCTTGGGGTGCTAGCTGGCTGTGTCCACGAAGTTTACACGGAAATGGATAAACACCAAGCAAGTCACTCGGTTGTGTCTTTCGGCAAAGCTGATGAAGTTTCTAGGATGAAGTCTATGACAACATACTACTGTTCAAGTCCCACAAAACAAGTTTTTCCCTATACGAAAGATTTAGGTTTGTTTTCAACAACTCAAACGTGAATTCTGCTGCTACAGGTAAAATGGTCCTCACTTGAAGAGTTAATGATGCCAGGCGCATTCCATGGCAGACTGCTCATCTGTTAGCACAATGGGGAAGACAAGATTTTATCCTGGGAGGCAAAAGGGAGAATGAGGGAAGCGGTGTGTTGCAGGGAGTGGGGTCAGGTCAGGTTTGCCCTGGCACTGCCACGCTTCCCAGTCGAGGTTATGCTCACCGTTTTCAAATAATAGTGAGAAGAGCCTGCCTGGCACACTGACGAGGGCTCGACTGCGCTGTCCTCGCTACACCTGGAAGGACACGCGCTGTGCAGAAGGACAGCAGTGAGATGTCCTGCAAAGCACACCTGTATGTCAGAGCGCATGCTGTTTCAGCAGCAGTAAACTAGTGTGCTGCCAGCTGAAACCCTGGGAGAAAATAAACTGGCCTGAAAACAAATCTATATTGTGATAGTCAAACAAAATAAACTGGCCTGAAAACAAATCTAATAGTGACCGCAGGTCTGACTCCAATTTTCAAATATTTGGTACTTTTTTCAAGTGGGACTTACAACTGCTTTTGTGGATATAGATATATATACACACACACATTACATGTATGTGTGTGTGTGTGTATATCCCTGATTTAAATACTTGCAGAAAATACCCACTTTATCCACTCAGCAGATGACTGAACCAAACAATGTAACATTATATTTTACAAACAGCATAAGGTCCCCAAAGTACAAGTAAAATCTTGACTTTATAGAAAAAGAAATTAAGCAAACAATAATTCTAAGCATGACAAGCATCTGAAGGAGTAACCCAGAAATCAACCACAGTACCAGACTCAACTAGAACATCCTACAATTTCCTATTAAATGTATACAACTTTATCTAAACCTGTAACCTTTGGAAAGAAAAACTTTACATTTAGAATATTTGTTGACAGACATTTAAACTGTAGACACAATTTAACTGTAACAATAGAAAATGGCCCTACAAGAACCATTGCTTACTTTTTCTCAGCAATTCCGCACACACCCTACCTGGCCTTCAGGCTTGACCATCTCCTTACATCTTTTAATCCAGCTCCACACCAAACCAGAGGTGACAAACTGGTGCTGGCAAAGAGTAAGGTCCGTCGTATGAAGGATCTCAGCCTCAGCTCTGGACATCTAGTTGAAAGGGTAGGGTGTGCTTTCTTAGAAAACGGCCAACAGCCACTCATCTGATAAATGCATATAGCTGCCGGGCCAAGAATCTAAACTTAAACCAAACCTGGAGGTGCACATGGGATTAGGGTTAGAGATGCAGGCAGGGTGTAAACCAGAACACTGGTTCTTTCCGGGTGGCATTACAGTGAGCTCAAAAACTTCCCCCCTCTATTAATATGCATTTTTCCAGATGTGTTTAGTCACACACAAATAGTAACAAGTGTTTGTTAAGAACATAGATTGAGGACACCGAAGTAAATTCACAGGGTCTTGTTCCATACATCTGGATAGATATTTAGGCTACAACTCTGATTGAAAAGACTAGTCTAGAAATACCAAGAATACTTCCTGGGTGATATAAACAATCAATGTTCAAGATTGTTTATACTCCCTACGTTTGCAAAAATGAGTACACTGGGATGTCAATCCCTAGCATATGTATTACTGAAAAAACACCCGCAGGAACATCAAAGTTGGAGGCCCTTTGCCCACTGTCATCAAGCTGCCCTCATCACCGAATGGCCAAGCAGAGAAGGTCATGAGCTCACCGCAAACACCAAGGGAAGGCTGTGAGCTGGGGGCGCTCACTCTGCTTTGCTAGCTTGCGCCTCAGTAAAGTCGTTCTCTGACGGGATGGGTGAGTGACGCGGCCTGCCTTCTCGGGAAGTAACGTGATGAAGGGCCCTACTGACTAGGATCCCTCTCTGCAGAACTCCGCAGCAGCGCTCAGCTTCACTCCAAGCCCAGCGGCCTGTCCCCACCACAGCGAGGGAAAGTGCCCCAGTGTGGGACGGCCTTTACGCTTGCTTCATTCACTGTGTACATGTTAATGAATGCAGAGGAGTAAAACTCAAAACCAACCAAAAGACAAACTTTTTAAAAACCTTTTTTTTGTAAGATGATCACATCATCCCCAGCACGATGTGGAACGAATTGAACAGACTTTTTTGGAGCCAACTAAACTTTCCCAAAGTCCCATTAGCAAATGACAGGCTCGTACAGTTAAAACAGATGACACAAACCGTGGTTAGAAGGCGAACACTTACACTGCCAGGGGACTACTGAAGGTGGATTTTAATGTGTTCTTTCAACTTTATTGAAATCATGAATATCCCAGATGCGATTACTATTTCAAAAAATCGCTTTAATGCTATCAAAAGATGATGTTCACGTCAATCCTGTTTGCCTTCGCGCCACTGTCTCGAGCCTTCATTCCAGGCCACATAAACAAAGAGGGCCAGTACCACGTGGACGGCGACCACGGCCACAATAGCAGCATAAAAATAGCTGTCCCTATTGGACATCCCAAAGGCTCCTATGAAGAGAAAGAAAGTTTCTGTGTTATTTATTCCAAAACTTACCAAGTAAAAAAACAAAGCATACCAACTTTTATGAGCTACGTAGCTAACCAGTCAGGCATTCAAAGTAGTACTGTGAGGGCGATGGTAATCTAGTATTCTCTTAAAGATCTAACACCGTCTCCAAATAAAGACCTTCATTTTGACTGAAAAATACAACTATCCCTTCAGCTAGAAGTTTCAATATAAAAAGGGAGGTTTTATTTTTCTCTCCCTTCCAGTGTCTGCCACCCAAAGTACTCTCCCCTGCATTCCTCCTCCCATGTCAGCCAACTCCCATATGCAAAGCGATACTGAAAGGATCTACAGTCTGTCATGGAAAACCAGAAGCTGCCCAGCGCCGTGACTACAGGTGATGAGAAAACCCATCTCACGAAGTCACATTCATTACAAGCAATTGCTTGTAAATAACAAGACAGTGAGAAGAAGCAAAGGTAAGACCACCCAGTTACGAGGTACAGCTGCAAAGGCCTGGAACAGAAACCTCGCAAGAGGGGAAACGGCTTGTTTTCTGGTCTGCAGTTACCTTCAAACACGTAGGATTTAGTCGTGAAATACAGCCCGATAGGCACGGTGATCATTAAAGCTGTGAAGAACAGGAGCGTCTTCAGAGTAGAAGCTAACGAACTTTCGCTTCTGGAATAAAGAAAATGAAGAGAAAAATTAGAGCCTGGACAGCCATTTCTACCATTTTTGTGTCCGTACACGATACAGGAACCCACACAGAAGATGCTGGAAACTGCCCCAGCCTTGGAAACAGTGGCCAGAGAAGAGGAGCAGAGTCGGGAACTCCAAAGGGGAAGATCCTGCAGAGCCAGCTGTAGGCCACCTGACTGCCTTCAGCCCCAGCTGAGCAGCAACGGAGGCAGCAGGGACGGTCACAGAACACACGTCACAGAGCGTGCCACACGCCACTGGCAGCTGGCTGCACGCGGCGCAAGCGAGCTGTGAGGACCACAAAGAAAAACCAGTCTCGACTACTGGATGCACTGTGCCCAAGTCTCTTTCAAATTAAACAGCTGTAGTACTATTTAGGTGGCATGGGTGCGGTACAGGTCTGATGTCAAACACTTCCACTCAGTGATTTCCATTTGTCCATATGACTTGAAAATCAAGGAACTAACCCGGTGGGAAAAGCTCTATTCCACATCATGATAAAACTGTTGTGAAGAATGCAAGCAAGCTTTTAAAATCATACTTAAAAAGGACTCTGATAAGGTGCTGCTGAAACATTAACACAAAGATTAATATAACAGCACCAACGAGGTTGGTAACATCAAAATGTCGTATAATGGGAAGATTATTTTGCTAATGGCAGAATCAGTCCAGGGAGACATGAAAAAGAATCTGGACAACTGGTCACAGGCCAGATGAACAAGGCAAACTACAGTCCACGCTGTCTGCCCGGGGTCTGCAGTGAGACCTGCGAGCCCACACCTGTTTCCGTAAATAAGCTTAACTGGCTCTGAGCGTCCGGCTCCTCCAAGACTGTTTCCGAGCTCAGAGGGAGAGCTGAGTAGAGGTGCCAGCCCTATGGGCCCCAAACACAAAACACTGACGCTGACCCTTTCCCGCAAAACTGCTGACCCCAATGTAAACTATTCCAATTAGGTTAAAAGTACATGATAAAAAAAGCACCCCAGACTAATACACAAAGTTAATAGTTAAACCTGAGATTACCGGAGAGGGAGGGGAGGTAGAGAGGACCTGCTGGATTATGGTGGAGGAACATGGGCACTTCGGGCGCAGGGCCGGGCCATGCGTCGGAAGCGTTACGAACGTATGCCTCGGACTCATATACAGTGATGTAAGCCAGTGCTGCTTGAGAAAATAACCCAACACTTAAAAATCAAGTTGTTCCCCGTTTTCAAAACGTCCGGAATGCCCTTTCACTGCCTCTCCAATAGGCGGCTACAGGTTCAATCTGTGCTCTGCACTGCGACAGACGAGCCACACCGGGGAAAGTGAAGCACGCGCCCACATCTGCGATTTCACCGTGATAAAAGCACTAGAGCGTCAATCATTCTGCTTCCGGTGCTGCCCCCTTAACCACAGCCATCCTGACTATCCTGTACACTTCTAAATTTCTGCTCAGGCCACGCTCGAATGTCATTCTCTTTCAGGTAACCCTCAGCTAGCGGTTCTGGGTTTTATCTTTAGGAAAGAAACAGCCCGATCCTCAAGGTCTCCCCCAAATAGCCTCTCCTTGAGGCACCTTCCCTGGTTACACCAGAGGAAGGAGTCCTTGTTATGTCCTAGGGTTCCACTCACACTTAGCTCACTCCCGTCGCTACAACACTTAATGTGACCAGCACAGAAAACCCAGGCTCAGGAGTTCTTCCAAGTCTGTAACAATTGGCTGGGAGCTTTCTGGCAGTCCAGGAAGGAAAGGAGCAGAAGCTCAACGCTTCTGACTGTACAATTCAGCACCGAGTGTATTCCCACAGAGGCATGCAGACTTCAACGAGGATACACATATTACTTCCATGCAACACAGATATTAAAAAGGATGCGGTCAAACATAAACGTGTATATAGAAGTTGTCCTGTTTTCCTTTTCTGGTATCCTGCTCGGTGACGGCCAAGCCACACACTTCTCATTTATTATACACATGCACCCGTAGCCATGCCCTAGTAGTATATTTTCAGAGCAATTTATTGTGCATCCTTCAAAGATGTCTGCAGTAGTTCCATTAAAAAAATTACAAAGTCACCATGTGACCACTTTTCTCTGGTGGACCCCAACAAAAAAAAATTGCCATATGCTGTTTCTGTGGTAGTTACTTGTTTTAGGTATGCTAAACTCCAGTTAGCTAACTGGTTAACAAAACCAAAGAATGTAAATACAGGGAGGGTTAATGGTGGATTGTTGTTTCTCTCTTTTTTAAAGATTTACTTATACACACAGAACTGGGATATAGGCCAGAGGTGCAGCGGTGGTGAGAGGCTTCACCAGAGACAGTAGGGGGCAGAACGGGATGACTGACGAAGCACAATGCTGAGGGGAGCAGCGGGCGGTCAAGAGAGGTCTGCGGCGCCATGTGGGTCTGCTCCGGGGCAGGGATCGAACACAGGCTGAAGTGGCTTTAGCTTCTCAGTGCTGTGCTCTAACCAGCTGTGCCACCAGGGAGGGCCCTGTGGCTTCTCTTTTGTCCTTTAAATGATCTCTCCTTAAGTATTTGGACCTGGCATGTCTTTGAAGAAGAAATTCTGGGGAAGACGCTATAAACCATAAAAATGCAACACAGCACTTAACTCCCAACACCTGCCCACTTGTAGCCCCACGCATGCGTCGAGTCCACTCTAACAACCGCTAGTTTCCCTTCGGCTCCTTCCCACTTCTCTTTAACCTTAAGCCGACAACTTCGACTGCTATTCTGATCTCAGAAATATGGTATGGAGCACTAAGTGCACATACTTTTTAAGACTCACAAACTTCCTCTAGTATTTGGAGCACTATCTTGGGCATTTTCTCCTTGCTTTCCAGTCACAGCCTGCTCCAGCCGGCAGGCGCCAGCTTGGGTCCAACCTGTGATTTATCCTAAAACAAAGCAACTGACGTCATCCAATTGCTGTCTCTGACTGGTTAGTGAGACTTGTTGAAAATGAAAAATGAGAAAGTTCAAAATTAAAGTTGACCTCACACATTAGAAACAATTTAGGATGAACCTCACTGTGGCCTCACTCTTAAAGCCATTTAGAAGTTTCCCCACTTCATATAAACTTCTGCAATGAATCCTGGGAAGTAGCATTTACCACTTTCCCTTCTGGGGTAGGCAAGATTTCACTTCAAACTGCATTAGGAGCATTGCAATCAGCCCAGGAGGGCTATAATATAGTCTAAGTACATGCAATAAACAGATACATTGGTGTCTAAAAGGCAGACGAAACACCTACATTGACAGGGAGAGTGAAGAGGGCAGGGCTCCACAGATGGCCAGCTCAGAGGCACTGGGCTGATCACATGCCCCAGGGACTTTCTTCACTGTGGGAGCTAACTGTGATCTTGGGCAAGTCACTGTCCTGAGTCAATGGCATGCTCTTTAAAATAGGGAAACCAAGCTCTTTCTTACTTCTGCCAACTCCCAAGGTGCCTAAATCGAGCCTGGCACACAGCAGGTCACCTTTGAAGAGTAGCTAACCCACTCCCCACCCTCTGCAGACTGAAGCATCCCTGGTTAGGCTCAACTGGCCAGAAGCACCTGCTCTTGACTCAGATTCCTTCTGCTCGGCCACAGGTCCCGTCCTACTGACGCCCCAGGTGAAGTCGGGTCAGAGACTCCCGTCCTCCCTAGATTCCTGCGGCACACACGAGCCAGGCACCGACGCCATCGGTCCTGCAGGCGACACAGGGCTGCAGCTCGGGTCCTCGGGAAGCCCCCACCCTGGGGAGGGACGCTGCTGACCGC